AAAAAAAAAAAAAAAAAAACACTTTTAAGTGAGAGAGAAAGGGAAATGCCTGCCTCTGGTCCTTCCAACTGGACAGCAACATGATAGCTTGCGTCATGAATCAACACTCCTTCTTTAAACCACTTCAGCAGAGCCCGAGAACCCCTCCCTCTACATCACACAGACAGGCCTTAACAAATAAGTTCAAAATCACAGAAGAAAAATAGAAGTTTTCAACTTTAATTGCCTCAAAACAACTGTGTTCAGAACCAGAAAGAGCTAAAAAAAGGGTTAATTGAGATAATTATATTTTGTAAATTTGCAATAAATAGTTAATTACCTGCCATGCAAACCAAGAGGAAGGTGAAAACCCCACAACTTTGTCATGGTGAAACGTTTTGCGTGCCAAACATGCGTCCTTAATCTTTTGGTTCCATCCCCTGAAGTAGAGAAGCCGATTTCAGGATTCTTCTTAAGTTCCTGCCTCCGACGAATGCGGCGAGGTACCGCAACCTGCTTCTCTTCTTTCTTCGAAGCAGAGACATTACTCAGTTTCTGCCTCTTCCTGAATCTCTTCTTTGCAACTTGATTATCGAACGCCGTGGTTCTCCTCCTCTTGTTTCTTCGTGATCGGAAATCGCTATTGACTCGATTGGCAACTGTGGAGTACAGAGACTCGAGTTCGGCGGCTCTGGATTCGGCGAATTTCTGCACATTGATTTTGCGCGGCGGTAGAGAAGATGAAGCTTGAGGCCGTCCCTCGGCAGCCATTGACGGGGGACGATGAAGACTTAAATTAGATACCGAACATATAATAGTTGGAAAACAAGCTCTTTTTTCTTCCCACCGGCGAGGTTAAGGAATGAATAAAAATCGTTACTTCACGTTACGTTACCGGCGACGGGTTTAGGGTTTTTCTTTTTCAAAGAGGAGAGTGAAATAGGCCCAAAAAAAACCGCCTTACAATATATGTTGTGCGCTGTCGTTTATCTGAAGCTCGGTTTGGATCCAAAGTTCGAAACTCGCGGGTCGGCCCACAAATATTAGTGGGTGGATCTAATTGAGCGGTTATGATTTTCATTTTTTTTAAAATTTTAAAATTTTAAAAGATTTAATAAAAAAGTATTACATAGTTGTAACGCACAATAAAACATGACATAAGAGGATAAAATTATTATTAAATTATTTAAATAATTATTAATTTTTTTTAAATCTAGATCTTTTTTTTAAAATAAATTCATAAATATCAGATTCGAATAATTATCTTGAGAATTGAAAAAGAAAAATGCATTTATACGTGACCTGATATCATTGTATCGAAGTTCAAGTGCTAAATTTAGATATTTTAAAATGAAATTAACAAATTTTATAAATTAATAAAGTTTTTTTGCTGAATTTTCAGAGGATCGAGTGATGCGTGCGGCCCTCGCGACACTCCAACATTTTTCACTTTTAAACGTGAGTCATGACTCCACTTTTTTTCAGTTCAGACTGCACAAAAAAGTGCAGTCCGGACATTTTGAAATGTTCCCATATGGCCTCATTGATAGAACTTAGAAGTTCATCCTCATCAATGGTTGGTTTGTGCGGTCCGACACTTCTGAAATTATAAACAAGTACAGTGAAGGACCAACTTTACCCAAAAAGGAGATAATAATAAACCACTAAAAACTAAAATCTCATCCCAATAAAAAAAGGGAATGGAGTGTACGCAACTGAAGTACACTTCAATGTAGTAAGGCAGTACAAGTTTCAATCTACAGTACATTGGCAAACCCATATGAAAAACTCACAAGGCCATCTAAAGACTATCATTTTCACTTTGTGGGACGGGGTCACCCTTGGTCTTGAGTCTATGCATCTGATACACCACGAATACAGTAATGCACAGGGAGATCACAGAGAACAGAAGGGCAAAGCTGCTACTGGCATCGTGGCTGCTGCTTGGTGCAGACTTGGTTAGAGAACCACCTGGAGAGAGATCCAATGGTACCCAATCGCAGTTGATGGTATAGTGGCCAGATCCGTGCCAGGGGTTGCCATTGACAGGATACCAGAATGCGATAGACATCTGGGTTGATCCACCAATGGTGAACTGAGCATCCTGCAGACACCAAGGAACAACACACTGGCATCCTATACTCTTCAAAGGTAAATATTCATGACAGATGATACAGCATCATTATTATCTACTGAATGAGCTAGGACCCTAGGTTTATTTGATTGTCATTTAAAACATTATTACCACATGACTGTCCTGCTCAGGAATCCAACATTATTTGCTCATTCACTACAAGGATCAATTTCCACTGTAGGACAACTGATCTTTTATCAACAAAATGAAGGTAAGGCTATGTTACTGACAGGAATTTGAAGTCTTCCGATCAAGGGAATGGTACAACATTGCTACTTTTATTTTCTAATTTTAACATGGGATTTAAATGTAACTCTGAAGTCCAAACCACAAGAAAAATGAATACAATGACTAAAAAAATTTCACCAAATATGCAAAGAGTAAACTTCTAAATTCATTATAATCAGTTCACACTAGAAGAGATTCTAACCTGTTGGAGATGATCCATAGTTCTCAATGGCCTAGAAAATTCAAAGTAATAGGTTCCCCTCTGACCGCCTGTGCCATAAGGACTGTCTTCCTCCACAAATCCTGCTAGAAAAATTATAAGCTTTCTGTTAAAAAAATTATAGATGAGGAATGAATAAAATCCTGAAGAACTTAAGGGGCAATATGTATAAACTTGAACCATATCAGATTAAATTTTTACTCAGAACAATTCATCAGATTTTTTTTTTTTTATCAGAAATCAGAATGTTTCACCTGATCCTAATCACGTTAAAAAAAGAAAACTAAATGACCAATTGAGCAAACGCAAAAACAAAAGCAAGAGAATTGTTCTGGACATTGACAATTCATCTTATACAGGAAAAACTAAAGGAACCAAGCAAATTGATTTGGTATTTTGTTCAAACGACTATGCAATTGATGCATGGTAAACTTCCCTGCCTAAACATCATTTATCATATGCAAAAGAAGAGCAACTAACACTCAACTGCCATTTAAGTGCAGTAAAATTTAAATTTGGAATTCATTTGTCAATTACCTGATTGAGAGCTAATGCTGCTGTGCCACCATGATCCTTTCCAGTTATTCTGTGCACTGGTATCATTTTCTAGAAAAAAAAAAAAAAGATTAGGTACAAAATTTGAATAATACAACTAAATTACAAGAGAATGCATTTTGCTGGGGGACCTTTGGGGGGAGTGGCAAACTGAGTTCAACTCAATATAATGTCATTGCAAAACATAAGCTGTATGCAACTGAGTTCAACTCAATAGAAAGTCACTAGCAAAACATAAGTTGCATGCATCATGCCATGGTTGTTTTCTCATAGCCAAGTCTGCTAATGAAAAAATGCAATTGCATAGGCACAAAAATGCCTTATCGAAGTTATTGTCTTGGAAGGGTGATGCATTTCAGGGTAAGTTTCCTTTTTTGGGGGAACCAAATGATTCTAAATTTCACTCAGGATATAAATCAACAGGATAATCCTTGCAGGACTGTCACAATCCGAAAGCCTAGTTTTCACCTTAAATCCAAGAAGATCCATGCTTGTGCAAAGCTAAAGTCTGGGAAGGTACATACAAGAAGGAGTAAGGAAACCTTTTTAGTCTTCTACCTAAAAGAAATAACTATATCACCACATAAAGAGAGACCTGATAGGGCAGCTATGCAAGTAAAGTAGATTCTTAAATGAGACTAAGACAACGGGGCAACTGGCAAAAACTTGGTTAAAGATGATGCATCAGAATCAGGTAACGAACAAAAATAAATAAATAAGATTTGCCACAAGATTAGACTTCTTTTCCCTCAAAAGATGGAAAAAAAGGCACTATTCTGGATGAGTAACTTGATGCAAGTTGAGAAGAAGGCTACAGGTGGCAAGAATCTAACTTCAATGTTCAAAAACTTATAAATAGATAATATAGCAGAAAAATGAGCTATTTTTGCAGACTAGGTGGCAGACATTAACGGTAAAAGCTCACATAAAAACAGTATATCATTTTCAATCAAAATAAAAATTTATATATATATATATATTGATGTGCCATCACCATTAAAGAAGTGATGACTATAAGGTGTTCAAAAGATCTTCAAAAGTTCCTTCTGGTGGGTGCCAATATCCATAAAGAAAAGAATTGCAATGCTTCATGAAAAAAGATAAGATTTGACTTTTCCTATTCTATAAACTTAATGGCCTCTATGATCGCTTTAGTCACTTTCTCCGATACCTCATCCCACTTTCTTTCTTCCTTTCCCAAGGAAATTTCCATCCCTTTCATTTCAGATGAGCAAATGCCTTTTCCATTAAAGCATGCCAATTTTTAGTTTAATGAGACAAATACCTGTGGGACCAACGCCATCGGGGTATCTACAGTGTGGGTTCCAACCATATAGATCAACCAAATGACCAAACCTGTTTACATATACAGAAACAAAGGAAAACATTAATTATAAAGTGCTGAAGTATGCAAATTCCACAAGATGACTGCATCAGTCACTGTTCTGAATGGAAAATTTTGATTGTACTACACTAAATAACATTGTACTACATCACCTATCACCTCCATTTCCATCTCCATTGTCTATTGGATTGCCACCATAGAGCCGTCCCGGAATAGCTGTTCCAATTGAGAAATGCATGATGTCAACTTCATGGCCCCTGCAAGTCTTGTTCGTGCAAGAGTCAGGTCCTTCTTTACACCCACCCATCTATCACCATATGAAATTTTCTGAGCTTTTAGTTCTAGTTTCAAGGAAAATCCAATGGAATAGAAGAGATATTATAGCAAAGTAGAGAATAGCATAAGAGTTAGCATAACAACTTACATTATGATAGGAAGCACCTTCACCAATTTTGAACATAAGAGCCACAGATGGGCATTTGGTGCTTTCTCTGTATTGATATCATAAACCCAATTCAACAAAATGGCAAAACGCTTCAAAATTCCCAATTCAAACCCAACATAGCGAAAAATGCACTCTATTGATCATGCCTAAAAGAATAGAATGGCAATTGAAGTTCACACTTGGCGACAGAACCAAGTGGAGGGGGATGTATGAATGACAAAGTCAAGCCCAGCTATGAAGACGTGTAAGACTCAAACAGGATCAAGAAGGCCACATAATACTATTGGATTAGATGAAATAACTTCAAACCTGTGACTAACACATTGATATTGAACAAATCAAGTGGAACAAATCAAACCCAGCAAGGAAACCCAAAAGGATTAATCTAACTCCTTTTACAACAAAGAAAAAACATGTTTCTTCTCCAGCAAAAAAACAAAGCTCACCCTCTAGTGTATGCATAGTTCCCATCAACTTGCAACAAGAAAAAGACATCATGTCCATCATGCAAAGCCTGCAAAAAAATACCCCACATATCGATCGAAAACAACAAATTTGGATTGAATTGGACACTGAAACTCATTTTCTTTTTCAATTAAGCAGTACCTTAACGGTCATTTTTCCACCGGAGTACTCGTGGTCCTGGTCGGGGTCCAGAGCAGGACGGAGAGGGAACTCGAACCCGTCAATGTCCTTCCAATCATCGGCCAGGCCATCGAGGGTGATGAGTCCGGGTCGGAAATCGGCCAGGACTCGGATCTCAGACTCCGACTCGCAGCGCCACTTGCCTGTTTCCTGGTGCGCGATGACCCAACCGACGAAGTGAGAACCCAGGAGGAAGAGGAAGAAGCGTAGCAGTTGCCAGGGCCGGACCATGGTGGAACACGAAATTTCGTTATTGAAGTAAAGCATGTGCTCCTGCGTCTTCTTTTATGCCCCAGTTTTTGTACTGCATTTTGACATTTCATGCCGACTTGCCGGGCAACTTCGCGCTTTTGACTGTTAACAGCAAATTTGGATCGAGAAAATGTGAGGATAAAAGGTTATTATAATTAATTAAATTATATTAGGAGGAAAATTTTCTTTTTCTTAAATTATGAAAAAATTATTTTGAAATTATATTATTTTAATAAAATATTTTAAAATTATTAAAAATAGTTTAATAAAAATTTATTAAAATAAATCGTTTTATGAAGATTTTCTCTAATTTTTAAAAATTAAGGACTATGAGAATTTTTTTAATTATTTTACTGGCCCAATAATTTGATTTAATTAGTTAAAATAGAATCATATCGTCTCCCTCTCTTCCTTTTTTTCAAACCAAATATGTCATAAATGATCCTAATTTTTAATAAATAAACAATCACACATCACAAAAAGTGTATATATTAGTTTCCCATTAACCATTTTCTTTATATCTACATGATGCATTTAAAATAATTTATCAACACTCAAATTCTAAAGTCTAAACTTAAATGGTTATATATATATATATATATATATATGGAAATACATAATTTGGGTGTCTTCAAGTTAACATTGTGTATTTTGAGACTAATTTTTTATTGAATAATTTAAAAAATATAACTCTATTCAACTTGGTGCACTCAAATAAACTAATTTACTTAAATTTTAATGCCAAGACTTAAACTATAAATCTTACCTTTACTTATAATATGAGATTACTAACCAGCCATCTTTTAAAGTTAAAACTAATAAGTATGAATTACTTATTAGTAGATCCATCTTTCAAGGTTAAAACTAAGTGTAAGGCAACATTGACAAATATGTGCAACATTTGAGGTTTAATTAACCATATTTGCATGTATTGGACACTCCAATTTTTAGATTTTGAACTTTAAGAGCAAGAAAATTTTGTTGTATAATTTTTTATCTTGAATTACACAGTAAAAGACAACTCTCATTCATTTCTTCATTCACTTTATGTGCATGTTATATTATTCGAATTTAAGATTGTTTACTTTGTTTAAAATAATTACTATTAAATTATTTAGATTGTTACCATTCTGTTCTATAATTCATTGTTAATGTATGAAAAGAAAATTTATTAGCAATTTCTCATGAATATTTGCCAAGAAAAAGATAATAAGCAATATTTATCTTTGGCTTAATTAAATAAAGGTTAAATGTTAATTTTGGTCCCTCAACTTTATAGAATTGCATTTTTTTGTCCCTCAACTATTTTCTACACTTTTTTGATCCCTCAACTTTAAGAACTGCACAATTTTGATCTTTCTATCAGTTTAAGTTGTTAACTCGGTCCACGTGGCATTTTTTATATTTTTTTATGACATGGAGAAGACAACCTAAAAAGATGTTGATATAGACAAAATATTATGTCATGTCATATTCATGTAAATCAAACGTGCCAAAACCCCTCGAATGGGTCCCACATTTCCTGTAAAGGGGTAGGTAAAATGTGTATGAACCCTATAATGCTCTCTCATCTCCACTCCATCCGCAAAATCGATCTTAACCCATATCTTCTTTTTCTCTTAATGCTCTCTCATCTCCACTCCATCAAATTAACTCCTCAATAAACAATGTCAATCAAACCCTAATTAAATTCCAACCAAAATGCAATCAAATTATAAATTAACTTCCAAATTTATCAAGAACGAAGAATGGGAATCGAAAAAAGAATGAAAAAACATGGTGAACTTGACAAACCCAACTTTAAAGAAGAATGAAATTAACAGAACCTAACTCTAAACCCAACAACTGGGTTCGACGAAACCCAGTAGATCTGGGTTCCAATGAACCCATTCTCGAACCCAGCACAATTGGGTTTCAACAAACCCAGTCAATCTAGGTTCCATCGAACCCAATTGTTAAGTTCTATCTGGGTTCAATGGATAGGAAAGAAAGAAAGAGAAAGAAAGAAGGGGAAGAAGATGGATTGGAGGGTGAGGGCAATAAGGTAATTTTGTTTGGTTTTATTTCTTGTTATTAAAATATAAAAATTGATTTGATGTGGCATTTTTATTTATCTATGTAATATAATTATAAGATATGATATTGCCACGTCATCAAAAGAATTAAAAGAAAATGCCACATGGAATTATTTAACAGCCATGTCATGTTTAACTGATGGAAGAACCAAAATTATGCAGTTCTTAGAGTTGAGGATGAAAAAAAGTGCAAAAAATAGTTGAGGGACCAAAAAAATATAACTCTATAAAGTTGAGAGACCAAAGTTAACATTTAACCTTTAATAAATAATTTATTAACTATTAATTTTTTTCATTTTAGTCTAAAACTTTTATTTCTTTCAAATTTATCTATTAACTTTCAAATTTGTTTTAATTTTATTTAGTTTAATACAATTTCATTAACTAAATTAATGAAATCCCATGTTTTAAATGGTGTAACATCATATAAGTTGCCACATAAACTGTTATATAACTTGAAAATAGAGGGAAAATT